TTGGATGGCGAGACGGGAGGTGACAAAAACAATTGGCGGGTTAGCAAGCAGATGGCACAGAAGGCTGTTATCGGCGGTGCGAAGGAGAATTAATAAGGTGTGAGAGCGATATTGAAAGGGGCCAGCTTATTTCAGTCCTTCAATTCTCGGGATTGGGGCACAGACAAACCAACAGCTCCAGTCCGCTGCACAGAGTAGGGAAGATATTAGGCATCCCATGGTTACGACCTGGCTGATTTCGTTTATGCTTAGATAAGAGAGACAAGTTGTTTGCTTGCGGTACTAGCATCGCTATCTCAGTTCAGGGAAGCCGTAGCTCTTTCGAGAGGCTAACTGTTCTACTCGAACTCCCTGATTCGGAGAGGGCTTATGTTGACCTCCAGTTCCCATGTAGTCTCATTCTACGGCCCCTTCCATTCTACAAGGTATTCCGTCCTCCCGCGGTGGGTCCGTTTTTGGAGTAACCGCTGTATCGCAAAGTCGTTTCCTTCGAAACCCGCCTCAAATTCTGCGACCAAATCATCACCTACATTTTTCCTCTCCTCCCATGTATTGTGCTCATCTCCAAGCCCCGCCCACCTCACCAGGTACCAAGTTGTCCTACCTCGCGTCCAATCTGCCAAGCAACCTGTCGACTTCCCATATATTGGTTCTGGTATGACGGCGTCCATGCTCGTCAAGCGCCTGCCTGCCCACCACGTTCTTGTGAGCCTCCCCCTCTTCGTCGCTAGCATCATGAACCACTGGAGGCGTTGGAGCGGAATTATACAAGTGCCGAGACCGGCTTTGAGGGGTGTTGGTGGCTATGAGCTTGGTGTGATACCTTACCTCAATAGCCTTAGGAGTACGTCCCGGGAACCGCTCGGCAATCTCGAGCCAAGACAGTCCTTGGTTCCTTAGCAGGCGGATCTTCGCGTCGTCCTCTGTGGTGTATTTTGCCCTTCGTGAGGTTGAAGTCGGCTTGCGGTCCGCTGTTGTGTCCTTGTTTTTCGTGGATCTTACAACCCTCTCTGTAGCCGGGCTGTGCTTCTTGGCTGTCTTCTTGACTGAGGACACGGCAATTTGATTCTCCTTTCCATGCTGTTCCATTCCATGAATTGCACATGGCCCCCAGGTGAACTGCGCCACAAAGTCGGCGGTGAACCGTCCATTGTAACCCGCTGGAGTACTGCGTTGTCGAGTTTCCATTCTTTGAAATTTGCGATAGGGGCTCGGTGCGCCTCAATCTCCATTTCCGAGGTGGCCCTTTGTGACGATGGTGGGTCGGGTATGCCAATGTCATCTTGGCGGGTTGGACGCCGGGATGATTTCTGAGCCCCTGGTAATGGGGATTTGCTGTAGTAAGGGCTTGGATGCTGCTGAGAGGCCGTTCCGCTCGTTGTAAAGGTTGCAATGCCTTCCTAGAGCGCTTGCGTTGCGGCACTTGGACAATATCATCATTATCCTCCCAAGGCTCGGCGGTACTACTACCTATAATGGGACGACGGTCCTCCTTATTATTGGCTCCACGATGCCGACCGAGGCCGATGCCGCGTTGGATTGTTGGTTTTTGAGCCGGTCGCAACCGGGACTCGGCGATACGCACATGGGCCCGCCGCTCACGTTCCGCATTGTTGGTTGCAATGGTCGAAGTGCTTAGCCTGCGGCGCTTGCGCGGTAGCGGTATGGCGTTATCCCGGCTTTGCTCTCTAACGCTGTCGTTAATAGGGCTGCGGCTGTCTTCAACATCCGTACTGCAAGTTGGACGGACAATGTTGTGATGGAGTTCGGCCCGGTCCTGGCTGGCGCGTGATTGTATGGATGGATAGACGGATAGCTCAGCATCAGCCAGCTCACCATGGTTGTTGCCCTCATCGTCCGGCAATCTCAGGATGCCCGCCACACTCTCCTCGGCCTGGAGCGGTATAAACAGACCCTCATCCTTTTGCTCTCCGCTGTCGTCTAGAAGCGATGGACGAGGATGTTTTGGGTCGCTTGTCTCATCGCTGTCACCGCGACGATCATTTGATGAGGAGAGGCGGCAGCTGGTGGGTTGCGGCAATGTTTCGACTCTAAGGATGGAGACGGCGCTGTATGGGCTTCGGGCTCGGCGAAGCGAGTTTAGGAAAGACGACTGTGGCGAGTTGGGACTACTATGGTTGCGCTGACGACTTGGCCGCTGGGGGGATGTCTGAGGCTCTTGTGTGTCGCCCCAGTATAGAGGTGTCTGCTGTTGAGATGCTGTTCCAACGGTTGTAAGGGCAGTAGTGATTAACTTTCGGCGCTTGCGTTGCGGAGGCTCGACATCGTTCTTGCTGTGGTCGGCGGCGGTGCCTATAGAGGGAGGACATTCTCCAACATTGTTGGCATCCCGATGTGGACTATGACCGACATCGCACTGAGGTTGGACAAGATCTCGGCTGGTTGATGGTTGTATAGATGGCTCGGTACTGGCCAGCTCGAATTCGCTGTTCGTCTTGTCGTCCGTTAATGCTGGTGCGCTTGCCCGACTCTCCTGCAGCGGTGGCGGCACGGCAAGCTCCTCCTCATTCTGCTCTTCTCCGTTGTCTAGAACTGGGGAATGGGGAGGGAGATTGCCGGTCTCGAAATGGGTGTTGTAGTCCTGACGTATATCGTGCCGCTCATCCTGGGCTTGGCGGTTGGGCCGATACTCGATTGCTTTGGTGGTAGCTGGGTCGGACTCGCCGCCCAGGCCATGACAAATAGGTCCCCGACAAATGGAACTTTCGCGACTCCCTCCATTTGGAAGAGACTCGTTGTCATCGACTATACTAGTAGAGCACGCAGTAATCGGAGGCCGGCTACAGCGCTTCTGCTCTGTCACAGCCGTTTCGGAATCGACACCAGGCAGAGTGTGCGGGGGGCAGACGGGGCTGTCCCCCTTGGCCGTGAGCTCTTTGGCTTGCTGTTCCCGGCGATATATCTTTGTCGATGGGTTGGGATGCCTGGGACACCTGAGACCCTGCCAACAAGAGTCCCCCGCGCAGACGGCTTTGAGGCGGAATGAGTGACCGTCATCAGCCCCGGCGTCGTCGGACTCGTCGTCACTGGGTATCTCGATCACGTTGTTCCGTAGAATCATGGTATTGTCAGGCTGCGGATCGCCTGCGTCCTGCGACGGCGGCGGGGATGACGAAGGCGAGTGGATTCCAAAGATGGCTGGAGAAGTGGGAACCAAATAGCCTATAACTAACGTTAGAGTATATTGAATATGTAGCCCTTGATGCCCACCCCATGGTCGACCGGCGCTCTGAACGTCCTCCTGCTTGCTAGAAGTGCAGCAGGTTAAGCCTTGCAAATAAAAGCAGAGCGCTTAGGTCGTCGCTTTGTATGGTGTCTATACAAAACGCCGATCCGCCTTGCGATAGTGGTTGCGCTTCGTCTTGTCACTGGCTTAACTATAACTTTGGGACAGTAGGTAGTAGAAAAGATAGAATAAATTGATAACGTAACGTTATGTTATTTATTACATATCGTATGCCGTCTCTATGCAACCTTCTT